AATAACTTGCTTATTAAGGCTTTAGTAAGTGTTCACAGTTGTTATTTTCATCTTAAAGATAAGGAAACAGGTTCCCACAAGTTATACAAATGGCCGGGGGATATAAAAGGCTACTAAGAGTCAAAATCTATTCTTTTTTTCCCCACAAACCTTTTATGTAAGGTATATAAACTTCATGCATTTCATAAATACAAGTTTAGGAACATGGTGATAGCGATTCTTCCCACTATACCTACCCTCCCACCTACACTCCCACCCTTCTTTCTCTTCCCTCTCCTATTCCAATTCTTATTTTTTTTTACTAAGACCTATTTTCAATTAACTGTATACACAGAAGATTAATTTTATACCAATAAAGAGTTCAACTAATAGTATGAAAACAAGAACTGTATCTCAACAGCTTTTTTTTTTTTATTTCTCTTTTGATTTATTCTATGACCCACTGCTCATTCAGGAGTATGTTGTTCAGTCTCCATGTGTTTGCTTACGCTCTACAGATTCTTGAGTTGTTGACTTCCAGCTTCATTCCATTGTGGTCAGAGATGATGCATGGTATGATTTTGATTTTTTTGAATCTGCTGAGATTTGCTTTATGGCCTGGCCTGTGTCTATCCTATAGAAAGTTCCTTGCACTGGTGAAAAGAATGTGTACTCTGCAAATGTAGAATGAAAAGTCCTGTAGATATTCGTTAGGTTCTTTTGGTCTATTGTGTCAACTAACTGTTGTTTCCTTGCTGATTTTCTGTCTGTTTGACCTATTACTGAAAGTAGGGTACTAAAGTCCCCATTACCATTGTATTGGAGCCTATGTGTCACTTTAGATTCACTAACATTTCTTATAGATAGCCAGGTGCCCCATAATTAGATGTGTATACTTTTGTTACAGTCACATCTTCCTGTTGAATTGATATCTTAATCATTGCATAGTGCCCTTGTCTCTTTTAACAGTTTTTGTGTTAACATCTATTTTGTCTGGTATTAGGATGGCTACACCAGCTCACCAGCTTTTTTTTTTTTTTTTGGGGGGGGGGGTTTCTGTTAGCATGGAATATATTTTTCCATCCTTTCACTTTCAGTCTGTGTGCCTCTTTGTTGGTGAAATGTGTTTCTTATAGGCAGCAAATTGATGTCTGTGTGTGTGTCTATTCAGCCAGTCTGTTTCTTTTAACTGGAGGATTGAGGCCATTTACATTCAAGGTGACTATTGATAAGTAACAACTTAGCCATGCTGTTTTTCCATAAATATATCTGTTGTTTATTTTTGCATCTTCTTTGTACTTTTACCAGGAGATTTTCTGCCTTCACCTTCTTTCATAGTGATGACCATGTTTTTGTTTCTGTGTGTAGCACACCCTTAAGCATCTTTTGTAAGGCTGGATGACTGGTTACAAATTCTTTTAATTTCTGTTTGTTATGGAAGGTCTTTATTACACCCTTATTCATAAATTTGAGCTTTGCAGGGTATAGTATTCTGGGCTGACAGTTTTTTTTTTTTTTTCTCATAAGACTTGAAATATATCTCACCATTCTCTCCCAGCCTATAGTGTTTCTGATGAGATCAACTGTAAGTCTAATTGGAGATACTCTGAAAATAATCTGGTGTTTCTCCCATGCACATTTTATAATCTTTTCTTTATGTTTTACCATGGAGAGTTTGACTACAATGTGTCTTGGTGAAGATTTTATGGTCATGTCTATTGGGAGTTCTACGTGCTTCCTGTATTTGGACACCCCTTTCTTTCTGCAAATTAGGGAAGTTTTCTGTAATTATTTCACTAAAAAGTCCTTGTAATCCAATTTCTCTCTTTCCATGCCTTCAGGAACTCCTAAGATCCATGCCCATGTGGTGGGTCATTTGATAGTATTCCATAAATATCCAATACTGTTTTTTAGTTTTCTAATTTCTTCTTCTTCCTCCTCCTCCTCCTCCTCTTCTTCTTCTGGTTTGACTATAAAATTTCTGGAGATAAGTCTTCTAACTTGGATATTCTTTCTTTTGCATTTTTATTTGATTTATTAAATTCTTCATTTCCAGTATTTCATTTTGATTTCACTTTAAAATCACAATTCCATGAGAAAAATTTTCATTCATGTCATGTATGGATTTCTTTTTTTTTTTTTTTTTTTTTTTTTTTTTGACAGGCAGAGTGGACAGTGAGAGAGAGAGACAGAGAGAAAGGTCTTCCTTTTGCCGTTGGTTCACCCTCCAATGGCCGCCGCAGCCGGCGCGCTGCGGCTGGCGCACCGCGCTGATCCGATGGCAGCCAGCACAGTACCAGGTGCTTTTCCTGGTCTCCCATGGGGTGCAGGGCCCAAGCACCTGGGCCATCCTCCACTGCACTCCCGGGCCACAGCAGAGGGCTGGCGTGGAAGAGGGGCAACTGGGACAGAATCCGGCGCCCCGACCGGGACTAGAACCCGGTGTGCCGGCGCCGCTAGGCGGAGGATTAGCCTAGTGAGCCGCGGCGCCGGCCTGGATTTCTTTAGTTTGTGGATTTACTTCTGATTACTTCTAAGTGATCTTACAATCAATTTTTTGAATCCCATTTCTGGCATTTCTTCAATCTCTTCTTTTTCATATTCTAGTAATGAAGTGTTGTGTCCCTTTGGGAGCATCATGTTGTCTTCCTTATTCATGTTTCTTAAATTGTTACATTTATTTTTAGGCATTTGTGTTAATACTTGTTAGTTTATTTTTTTCCCTGTGATGACTTTTGTCTTTGGACTACACCTCTGTAGATAATGTCTGCTCTTTCAGTGAATACCCTGAACCATGTTCTGGATGTAGCCAGAGAGTTTTGTTCAGTGTTCCAGGGGAGGGATGTGTTCAAGTTTACTCTCAAATTGGACATGGTAAATTTCTTTCACTTTTTTTTTATTGGAGAGAAGGTTGTTTAACTCTCTTGGCATAGTCTCATGCTCACTTCCTCACTTCCAAGGAGACCAACGCCTGGGTGCTAACCCCAGTGGGTACAGTTTTAATCTGTGTTGCCACAAGAACCACACAAAGGGTTTATGTAGTCCTCAATGTGAGCAAAGATCCCAAAGCAATGACCCTCACCAGGGAATCAGGGAGGCCCAAGCCTGTAGAGCTGCCCACAGTAACTGCCCAAAGACCCAGAAACACCCTGGGTCCTCACACACAGCCATGGTTTTTTTCACAGTTTGTATCAGCACACACGGCTCCCACAATCATGAGTACCCAGTCCCCTGTCAATTCTCCCATCAGATTCAGGTTTCTCCTCTCAGTTGGTAGCTGGGCATGTGGACCTGACTGGCACAGATATTATGTATGTCCAAAATAGTGCTTGTCCTCTCTCAGCTATATACAGGATTCCAGTGCCCAGTGGTTGGGGAGAAAGAAACATGCACCCCCATTTTCTCCTCTAGGTTGGTAGGTATACTTTCCCCCATAGGGCTGCAAGCCAGATTCACACCAGGCTCTTCCTGCAGCTTTACCACCAGTGGCTTGGGCTGCCACAGTCTAGTCTTATCTCACTCTCCAAGCTGGTGCTGAGGCTCCTGGCTGCTGGGGTTCTGAGTTGCACATATCCACACCCTCCATGTAGTTCCACAGTGTCCCTCCAAGTTGCATGGAGTTTCCTCTGCCATTTTCTTTCTAACTATTCCCTGAGATTGCACTCTCTCCATGCCATGTTTTCATCTAACTATGTTCCCCAGACTAGAGTAGTAAGTTCCCTTCCTATTCTGCCATCTTGGGGCCTCTCTGTTCTTTTGATTCTAAAGTCCACATTATTTCAACTACCTTGAATGAAATACAAATTTTAAGTTTAAAACATTTAATACCATGGACTAAAAAAACGCCCATTATTATAGCACATGCTTACAGCTAGATGAAAATTTACTTTATGTTAGGAACTACCATGTACTTCAGAAACACTACCACAGTTGAACATCACTAAAATTTTGTTTGCAAATGAGGAGACATAGGTACTGTAAGTGGGAGAGATTTGTTCAAGGTCACAAAATGAGGAGGCATGATTGGGAAGTTAGTCCCCTTACAGAGGCCAAGCCTGTATTGCCTATTTTAGCTTGCACCAAAAAGCATTTCCAAAGTCTGATCATCTCTATTGTCTCCTACATTGGAGAAATGATGCAAGACATTAGCATAGGCAGAATTCCTAAAAAAAAAAAAAGACCCCAGAAGCACAGGAAATCAAAGCTAAAGTTGAGTAATGGGATTACATCAACCTGAGAAGCTTCTACTATAAAAGAGTGAAGAGGTGACTGTTAGAATGGGAGAAAATATTTGCAAAGTAGGCAACTGATGAATATCCAGAATCTATAGAGAACTTAAAAAACTCAAAAACAGCAGACAGACAATAAATGGGCAAAGGACTGGAGCAGGCTTTTTTTTTTTTTTTTTTTTTTTGACAGGCAGAGTGGACAGTGAGAGAGACAGACAGAGAGAAAGGTCTTCCTTTACCGTTGGTTCACCCTCCAATGGCCTCTGTGGCCTGAGTGCTGCTGCCGGTGCCTCGCGCTGATCCGAAGCCAGGAGCCAGGTGCTTCTCCTGGCCTCCCATGCGGGTAAAAGGCCCAAGCACTTGGGCCATCCTCCACTGCACTCCCTGGCCACAGCAGAGAGCTGGACTGGAAGAGGGGCAACTGAGACAGAATCCGGCTCCCCAACCAGGACTAGAACCCGGTGTGCTGGCGCCGCAGGTGGAGGATTAGCCTATTGAGCCACGGCGTGGAACAAGCATTTTTCAAAAGAAACTCAAGTGGCTAACAGACACAAGAAAAAATGTTCAGGATCACTAGCAAACAGGAAAATGCAAATAAAAACCACAATGAGGTTTCGCCTCATCCCAGTTAGACTGGCTCTCATTCAGAACTCAATAAACAATAAATGCTGGCAAGGTTGTATGGAGAAAGGTACCCTCATCCACTGTGGGTTGGAGTGTAAACTGGAGCAGCCATTGTGGAAAACAGTGTGGAGATATCTCAGAAAACTGGCTCCTGGCAGCAGACCCAGCACTTTGGCTCCCCAGGGCCGCAAGCAGCACTGCGGGGTGTGGGGCGGACCCAGGAGATGAAATGACAACGCCAACCCTCCAGAAAGCCATTGATCTGGTGACGAAAGCCACAGAGGATGATAAAGCCAGGAATTACAAGGAGGCCCTACGGCTGTACCAGCATGCGGTGGAGTACTTCCTCCACGCCATCAAGTATGAGGCGCACAGCGACAAAGCCAAGGAGAGCATTCGAGCCAAGTGCGTGCAGTACCTAGACCAAGCCGAGAAGCTGAAGGATTACTTACGGAACAAGGAGAAGCACAGCAAGAAGCCAGTGAAAGAGAATCAGAGTGAAGGCAAGGGCAGTGATAGTGACAGTGAAGCGGATAACCCAGAAAAAAAGAAATTGCAGGAGCAGCTGATGGGTGCCGTTGTCATGGAGAAGCCAAACATACGGTGGGATGACGCGGCGGGGCTGGAAGGGGCCAAGGAGGCCCGCAAAGAAGCTGTCATTTTACCGATTAAATTCCCACATTTGTTCACAGGCAAGCGCACCCCCTGGCGAGGGATACTGCTCTTTGGACCTCCTGGCACAGGGAAATCCTATCTGGCCAAAGCTGTGGCCACGGAGGCCAACAACTCCACCTTCTTCTCTGTGTCCTCCTCAGATTTGATGTCAAAGTGGTTGGGGGAGAGCGAGAGGCTAGAGAAGAACCTGTTCGAGCTGGCCAGGCAGCACAAGCCTTCCATCATCTTCATCGATGAGGTGGATTCCCTCTGCGGCTCCCGAAATGAGAACGAGAGCGAGGCTGCCCGAAGGATCAAAACAGAGTTCTTGGTCCAGATGCAGGGGGTGGGCAATAACAATGATGGGACCCTGGTTCTATCCCCTGGGTATTGGATTCGGCCATTAGAAGGAGGTTTGAAAAACGAATCTACATTCCGTTGCCAGAGGAAGCTGCTCGTGCGCAGATGTTCCGGTTACATCTGGGGAGCACTCCCCACAGCCTCACAGATGCCGACATCCACGAGCTGGCCCGCAAGATGGAGGGCTATCCTGGGGCAGACATCAGCGTCATCGTGCGGGACTCCCTCATGCAGCCCGTCAGGAAAGTGCAGTCGGCAACACACTTCCAGAAGGTCTGTGGTCCTTCTCGCACCAACCCTGGCGTCATGATCGACGACCTCCTGACGCCAAGCTCACTGGGAGACCCCGGGGCCATGGAGATGACGTGGATGGATGTCCCTGGTGACAAACTCTTAGAGCCTGTGGTTTGCATGTCGGACATGCTCCTCTCTTTGGCCACCACTCGGCCCACGGTGAATACAGATGACCTCCTGAAAGTGAAGAAATTCTCAGAGGACTTCGGCCAGGAGAGCTAAAAGCTGCTTCATTAGGGTGATGAAGGTGGGAGATCGACTGGGGCACATCGATGGTTCTCTCTGCGTCAGTGGCCGGACAGGGCTCTGGGCTCGTCCTAAAGTCACTACAGCATCCCCTCTGCTGGCGTGCGTCCGGGAGCAGGAAGGAAGGGCCTCGCAGGGCCTGGCGGCCACAGAGACGCTCTGCTGCCCGTGTGCACACGGTGTACTCCGGCTCTCCCCCCTCTCCTCTCCTGGACGTTCACCAGTTCTTCTCCTGCTCAGCCTGCCCACACATCGTCTTTTTCTTTAACATTCTTTTGTTCCCCTAAATTAATGCTGCTTGGATTTCCGTCTTGTTTATAAATAAAATCACCTGGACACAACAAGGAGTGGGAGCAGCTGAGCTGTGGGTGGCACAGCAGAGCCCCCAGACGGCTGCCAGGTCTCACTGCCTCTGCTCCTCTTATGCCCAAGTTTGCCTCCTTGAAAACACACTGGCTGAAGGCCCTGGATCCCCAGGGCAAGCTTTGCCTGCAAAGACTGAGAGTAAGAAAAGCCATTCCCATCCACCCTATTTGCATCCGGGGCCCTGTGTGTTCCTCGAAGCAGGAGGAGATGGCTTCTGTGAGCACAAAGCTGGCGTGGTCGTGCAGAGGCAGGTGGTGGGCGGTCTACACAGCTGCCTTTCCTCTAGGTGTGAGAATGCTGAACACCGCCACTGCCCTGCCCCGGGTCCCTCTCCTGGAAATGGTCTAATAAACCCACTTCCCTTCTTGAGTAAAAAATAAATAAATAAATAAAAATAAAAAATAAATAAAAAAAGAAAACTGAAAATAGATCCAGCATATGACCCAGCAATCTCACTCCTGGGAATTTACCCAAGGGAAACGAAATCAGCATATGAAAGAATTATCTGCACCCCCGTGTTCACTGCAGCTCAATTCACAATAGCTAATATATGGAATCAACCCAGATGTCCATAAAATGCTAAATGAAAAAAAGAACTTATGGCATATACACTATGGAATACTACTTGGTGATATAAGCCAGTCCCAAAAAGACAAATACCGTATGTTCTCCTGATCTGTGGTAACTAATAGAATACCTAAAATGTAATGTATTGGAATGAAATTAACATTTTGAGAGTCGGTGATTGTTTTCGGCCCTTACCTGTATTGTTGAGTAACAGTGCTTTTTCCCTCCTACTATTCATTGAACACTTTACTTACTATAGGGTTAATCTTATGAGTATAAAGTAAACTGAAAATAGATCTTTGTGAAAATTAAGCATGGGAATAAAAGAGGGAGGAGGAAGAAAGGCGGGAGAGTGGGGAGGAGGGAGGTAGGGTGGGCAGGATCACTATGTTCCTATAGCTGTAGATATGAAATGCATGTAATATGTCTGTCTAAAAATTTTTTAAAAAAGAAAAAAGACATAAATCCCCAATTTGGGGGGAAAAGGACACAGAGTAAAAAAGAAACAGAAGCATGATATTAGAATTAGTTGCTGACCTTAGAGTGTTGCTTATATTCTGCAAGCATGTGGGATTCTCATTTTCTATCTCTGAACAAGCTAAATACTCATCAGCTAGAAGTTCCCTATGAATGTCTCACTTGCTAGACAAGGGTGAAGCTAAGAATTCCTCTTAAGCACTCTCAATTTCTCATTTCAGTCTTAACAATTGTACTAAATCACTCCTCTTTCCAAAGAAAAAGCAAGGTTGCAAATGAGAGACAAAGAGCATTATGCTTTCATAGTCTTCATCACATAGGAGAGACATTAGAAGAGGTAAGAAGCCTTCATCTAACAGCAGGCATAATTTCAACTTTGTTGTATGGAAAACCTTTCTATTAAATTCAACAAAAAAAGTGAATGGAAATGTGGGAAATGGATAGTTTTGCTAATGAATTTTACATAATGAATTGTGTACTAAATTTAAAATAATAAAGTTGAACTCTAAACCATATCAAACTAAAACTTCTACTTCAAATAGAATCAAAGGTGAAAGATCATTTGAAGGAATTTCAAGCAATTTTCAAAAATAAGAATAATTGGGACTGGCTCTGTGGCATATTGGGTAAAGCCACCTCTTGCAGGGCCAGCATCCCAGATGGGGGTGGGTTTGAGTCCCGGCTGCTCAACTTCTAATTCAGCTCTCTGCTCTGTCCTGGGAAGCAGTGGAAGATGGCCCAACTCCTTGGGTCCCTGCGCCCATATGGGAGACCCAGAAAAAGCTTCTGGCTCCTGCTTTTGTATTGGCTCATCTCAGGCCATTGTGGCTATTTAAGGATTGAACCAGCAGATAGAAGACCTCTCTCTCTCTCTCCCCCTCTCTCTGCCTCTGCCTCTCTGTAACTCTGTCTTTCAAACAAATAAAAAAATTTAAAAAGAATAACCATATTGTCTCCGTGGACGTTCTATCAACCTTGGAAAATTAGGGCTGAAAACCAGTGAGTTACTACGTGAATTATCTTATGTCAACTCAGTTCCTTGAATTTGAAGTTTCACTTAATTAGTACAGATCAGGGACATTGGCAGAATTTATCATGAGCCACTAATCAAAAATGTACAGAAAACTACATGGATCATGCATGGATAATCTACTACATTATCACTTTCAAAAGGACACATTCTGTTAATTAGTTAACTACTTGGTATGAAGGATAAAAGTCCCTTCTGTTTTTATTGTATTCACTCTGGTAATAAACAGAAATTTCCCGTACTTAATGTTTATTCACTCTCTGGCAAGTTTCCTACGTACCAAGAAATAGTTGCATTTAAGGTGCCAAAGATTTCCTGGCAGTAGAAGTCAAATACTTCCAGTAAAGATCTTATATAACAATATTTAGAGAAATTACACATCACTGGAGATGACTTTGATCATTTTATAGCTGGCATTGCCCTCAGATTACCTGGCCCAGACATCTGATTTTCCTGTAGCCCAGGTGCCTAGCGATTTATGCAAATGTACAAACTGAATCATTTATTTTATTCGTCTCTTTATTCAAGTCCATAATTTGTTACTCCAGTATTTGACATAATAATTTGTTAAATTAATGAATTCTTTCAGACTATAGAGGAGCTTAGTAACTTATCTTAAGATGTACTTTATCTACCCCAAGGAACAGAGGCAAACAATGTCACAAATTGAAACATAATCACACACTCTCCAAATCTGTCTCCCAATCTAATGTTTTACATAAATTAACATTTTCACTTTTTCTAATCCTACCAAAATAGACTCAGGCTTTTAGTATCTTCAGGCTCTGAACCAATCAAGGTCAGATTCCCCCATATACTATTCATTGCCCATTTCCTAATACAAGAATTGAAAAAATACTAACACAATATCACTTTCTCCTTGAACACGATAGAATCTGAAATGAGTTTTTAAAAGGGTATGGTTGCTTTTACTCAATAAATTACAGGTGCGGAAGAGTAGAAATTAGAATGTAAGTTAGGGGTCTACTGCCTTCGTGTGTTAAGAAGTGATACAGGTTGGTAGCAAAGAAGAAGCAGAGAAGTTAGAACATATAGATAGCATGTTGAATGTGAAGCTGACCCATTTTTCATACATGATAATGAAAAGAGAAATTATGAATGGTCTCCTGGTTTGGCTGTTGGATGACTGAATGGAAGGTAGAGTAATTTATTTAAGTGGAGAATATGGGAAAGGGTAGTCATAATTGGTTATAGAGGACACCAATATAAATAATTATAATATGAAAATAATAAATTCAAGGTACAAACTGAATAAAAAGTCAAGAAGGTAGAAAAGGTCAATGTTGAAAGTAAAAATGTGGGAGTAATCAGCATATAAATGGTATTTAAACACCTGGGACTAAATCACCAAGGGAGAGAATGTAGATAGAAAATGACATTTTAACACTTGATCTTTGGGTAGAGGAAGAGTCAGCAGTGGGACTCAGAAGGAAGCAGGCAAGAGAAGAAAACTGGGGGACATCTTCTTTTTTAATTATTTTTAGAGCAGTTTTAGCTTCATATCAAAATTGAGCAGAAATTATAGGGATTTACCACATACTCCCTAACTCCACAAATTCACAGCCTCCCTCATTATCAAGATCTCCCACCAGAATGATGAATTTGTCAAAATTGATGAGTATACACCAGCACATTGATATTACTAAAATCCATCATTTAAATTAGGGTTCACATTTGGTGTTTTATGTTCTGTGGGCTCTGACAAATGTATAGTGATATGTGTCCATCATTATAGTGTCATACAGAATACTTACTGTATTAATAAGGTGGCTGATTTTTTTGTGTATAACATTTCCTCTCTTGTAAGTGTTTTATTCTTTCCTTTTTTTTTTTTTTTGCTTTTTTAAGAATTCTGGTACTTACAGAATGGTTGTCATTTTTTAAAGATGTATTTATTTATTTGAAAGGCCAATTACAGAGATGGCAGGAGACAGGAGGGAGAAAGGAAAAGAGAGGGAGAGGGAATCCATCTTCCATCCACTGTTCACTTCCCAGATGGCCACAATAACTGGGGCTGGGCCAGCCTGGAACTCCATCTAGGCTTCCCACGTGAGCGCAGGGGACCAAAGGTGTGGACCATCTTCTGATATTTTCCCAGATGCATTAGCAGGGAGCTGAATTAGAAGTGGAGTAGCTGGCACCTGAACAAGTGCCCATCTGGAATGCCAGCATTTCAGGCAGTAGCATAACTCACTATGCCAGTGCCCCTTTCCTGTATTTCTAATAATCATGTCATTGTTTTAAGTGATTTGCAGAGTAACTGAGAGTCAATGCCCTCAATGTAGCCTGCAGTTACTGCAAACTGCCAAGAATACACAACACAGGGGTGGTGGCTTGAGAAATTGGGAGAAAATAGTATGATCATACTTTGTTCTTTCAGCCCAACTACAGACATATTGTCTATCAAAAAAAAAAAAAACAGCATATTAGCCTACAGGAAAATACATATCAAAACCACAATGAGATGTCACTCCAAACCTACTAGAATGGTTGTAATCAAAAGAAGAGATAACAACAGTGATGAGGATTTCAAAAAATGGAAACCTTCATAAGCTTCTAATGAGAATATTAAATGGTGTAGTCACTTTTGAAAATAGGCAGCTTTTCAAAAGGTCAAACATTAAGCAATCAGATGACTCATCACTTTCATTCCTAGCTATATACGCATGAGAAATGAAGAGATGCC